TGCAGCCCCACTGAAGATCCTGGGACTTGTCAGCCTCCATGATTGCATGACCTTAATTGTTATGAATACTTAAAACAAATCTTTCACATTTATATATACATACACACATGTATGTGTATGTGTATGTGTACATATATGCATATGTGTATATATATGATATATATATATATCTCCTATTGGTGCTGTTCTTCTGGAGACCCTCACTAGTATAGACCTTGAGCTCTAAGAGGGAAGAAAGCAGATCTGGTTTTGCTCACCATTGTGTCCCCAGAGTCTGGTACAGTACCTGACATATAGTGTGTGCTCAACAAGTACTAATTAAATAAATGACTAATGGGGCTTGTGGACATGGAATAAAGTTGGAGGTTCAGGCCTCTTAGAGCTGCAGGTCTGGAACCGGGGGGTACTCAGGAGGCGTAACTGTGGTAACTGCTGCTGCCGTTCACTGTCTCCTGTGTGCCTGGCAGAGGGTTAGGCTCTTATACACTTGAGGACAGTTACTCCTTGGGAAGAGCCAGCCCTATGAGACGGTCTTTATTATATTATTTCTATGTTCAGAGGAGGAACTTGAGATTCAGAGGGATTCAAAACTTGATTGGGGGTCACACAGATGCTGAGCGACAGAGCTGCGTTCTGATTCCAAAGCTTCTTCTCTAAACAATTCTAGTTCCGGAAATGCCTAAGGCCTTATCCTTTTTCCATCTTGAGTTCAGAGTTCACCAAGCCTCCCAGGCAGCTTCCTCCTCACTATCCAGCCCTCCTGTGGGTCTGTCTGACCCCAGAGCCCAGGCTGGTGTCTGCCACTTTGGGTTGTGAACACACCGGGCTTCTCGTGCCATCTCCGGCATCCACTTTGGGTTGGTGGCCCCTCAAGCCCGGTCACACAGCTTATGTCACCTCCCACACAGCATGTCCCAGACTGGTCCTCAACCGTTCACTCTCCTTCAGTTTGGCTTCTTATTAGTCCGCAATCCACACGCCGCTTATGTCAACTCTCAGCATAAATTTATTTATTGAATCAATATTTACTGAGCACCTGTTTGTGTGTCAGTCCTTTGTGATACAATGTGAGCAAAACAGATCCAGTTCTTGTCCTCAGAGAGTTTACAGTCTAGAGGGGAAGGATATTGAACAAGTAACATCCACGTGTGATGAACACCAATCTCTAATATTGCTTTACATCCCCACAGTTATTTTGAAAGAAAAACGTTTCTTTTTCCCTTTCCTTTCTTTCAATTTCCATAGCTACCATCCTTTTTTTTTATTATTTTTTATTGGGGTATAGTTGATTTACAATGTTGTGTTAGTTTCAGGTGGTCAGCAAAGTGAGTCTGTTATACATATACATATATCCACTCTTTTTAAGATTCTTTTCCCACATAGGCCATTACAGAGTATTGAGTAGAGTTCCCTGTGCTACCATTCTTCTCTAGGTTATGAATTTCCATTGTATTGAGACTAAAGCAAAACCTTCTAATTCTCCTATGTTTCTTCCCACCACCACTGTGTTAATCTTCCATAAAACATAAATTCTATAGCTCTGTTCTCCAGCCAAATGATCTCCAATTGCTCTCCACATATTGGAGCTGCGCTTCTCAAACTGGGGCACATGTATGCATCCTTAGAGGTCAGGAAGGAGGACGATGTGGGGGTGCACCATGTGGTATAGGAAGCCATAGATAAATGCTGAATTTTTTGGAAATGTCAATTTTGCTTGAAATTTGGGGATGGGTAGAAATGTAATATTTAAATTAAATGGAAAGTAGTCATTTTATGGGAATAAAATATAAAATCCATGTGAAATTTTAAGATGACAAAATAAGACTTCAAAGAAAATCCACCGTGGTCAGCACCTCCCCTGGAGCCTCAGGCCTCTGTCAGGCATGTGCAGTTTTGCCTTTGCTGAGAGGCCGGGCCACCCAGAGCACATCAGAGAGGCTGGATTGCCTTTTGGTGCCCTTCCTGCAGAGCAGCCAGGCTCACAGCCTGGGTCTGGGAGTGCTGTACTTGGTGGAAAAGTTTAAGAAGGACTGGCTACCATAGGAGCCAGACTCTTGAGTATAGAGCAGGTACTCAATGAATGAATGAATGAATGGATGCAGGCATAACTTCTGATTCTGACCTTCAACGACTGACTTGATATAAACCATCATCCCTATTTGACCTCTTTTCCTCCATATTCCCCTTTTAACCCAAGCCCAACACTTCTTGCTCTTTAAAGGTTTCATGTCATTTCCTAACTTCAGGCTTTTGCCCATTCTTGTGTGTACAACCCCAAACACCCTTCTCTCTAGTTCCTACCTAACCAATTCCTACTTGTGCTTCAACACTACCACTCAAGCCTCTGCCTCCCCTGTGGGGTCTACCTCCAATGTCCCTCTCTCCCCCCCTTCCCCAAATATCCCAACTCCTAATCGCCTCTACCACTCATTTGGGTGTCCTGGGTACATCTTGCCTCCCCAGCCAAACGTGAAATTCCTTGAGTGTTAGGAGATGTCTTACCCTTTCCACTGCTTAACAGTAATGGATACATCATAGATACAAGAAGATCATGCTGAAGGATTGCCAATGAATTTTAGTCTACATCTGTGATTCTCAGCTGGGAGCAATTTTCACCCCAGGATACATCACAATGTCTGGAGACATTTTTGGTTGTCATAACTGGCCTTTGCTGCCTGCATCTAGTGTGTAGAGGCTGGGGATGCTGCTACACATCCTATGATGCATAGGACAGCTACCTCCCCCAAAGAAAGGATCGGGTGCCCCCAATTCAATAGTGCATCGTTAAGAAATCCTTGCGTACGTTATAGAATCTTCCTAACCTCTTTTCTTGACTCTTTGTTCTCCCAGACAGAACCCAACCTCCATCCTTCTGCCTTCAGTCTAAGCAACTTCTCCAAAAAATAATTCCAATCAGTCCCCTGGTTACTCTAGTGGCTGTTCACTGACTTTGAGAGAAAATTCAACTCCATTATCATGTTATGACCTTTCATGCCTCAGCACCTTTGCACGTGCTGATCCTTCTGCCTTGAACATTTCCCCCTTTTTGGCTTATAAGTAAGTATTGCTCAAAGATCAATACCGGCACAGATACCAGCAAACATCGATAAAGCATCTATCATGGGCCAGGTACTGTTTCAGGTGCTAGGGAAACAGCAGTGAACAAAACAAAGTAAGTCCACACCCTCAAGGAGCCAACAGTATAGATCGGTACTCTTCAAGAGAACCTTCTGCAATGAAGGAAATCTTAAATCAGCACCGTCCAATACGGTAGCTACTAGCTACACAATGGCGATTGAGTACTGGAAGTGTGGATCATCTGAATTGAAATCTCCTGGAAGCATAAAACACACTTAGTATGAAACAACTCATTAACAATTCTTAATAGTTATCTCATCTAATCCCCATGACACACCCATGAGGTGGATGTTATTATCTTACCCATTTTACATATGAGAAAACTGAGGCTCAGAAAGGTAAAGGAAAGTTGGACAAAGTCAGGAGGCTAATAAGGGGTGAAGACTGCCTTTGACCTGGGTCTGTATGACTCTGGAATCCACACAGTCTACATCCCACTACACTAGACATACCAGCTCTCCTGTGCAATACTCCTCACGGCGAATGAGCAAACAGAAATGATCAAAATGACCCAGATATTCACACCTTTCCTAGCCATACACCTACACAGAGAGTCATCACATCGCTCAGGTCCCATAGGAATTAAAATCGAAAGCTGAGGCTGTGGGAGAAAAAGGTCTTCACTCCCGGCTGTCCAGGCTGTAGTGGCAGAGCGGCACCCGGCAGAAGGTGCTGGCCAGACAAACAGCTCTCATGGCTCCTGAACATCTTGGCAGCTGCACGGTATTTAGTCTGACACTGGACATGGGTGACCACTGCCCTCTAGGCACCTTTACTCTGGGGAGTTCTGTCTCCTAGAAAACCTCCCTGCTAGCTCCAGGCCCCTTCTGGCTACCACAGCTGACTCTTGCTTCACCCGCTTACATCGGTCTTAGCCTTTGGCCCCCAAGCACTCAGCCCCCACTAGTTCGGAGCTGCTTTGCTCAGTCAACGCCCTGAAAACTCCAGCGTCATCCCAGGGCCTGTCAGCCTGGTGGACTTTATCCCATCCCTTCTCTCTGAAGCCCTTCCCTGGTGCCCACTAGAATCACTGGGCCTTCTAGGGTGCTGGTTCCCAAAGCCTCACTCTCTCCAAGAAGCCACTAACCCTTTCCCCCAGCTGCTATTTGTTTTTTAAAGTTGAGGTATAATTGACATATAACATTATATTAGTTTTAGGTGAATAGCATAATGATTTGATACATGTATATATTGCAAAATAATCACCACAATGAGTTTAGTTAACATCCATCACCATGCATAGTTACAATTTTTTTTTTTTTATGATGAGAACTTTTAAGACCTATTCTCTTAAGAACTTTCAAATACACAATACAGTGTTAATTTAGTGTCCCCAGTTGCTAGTCTTGACTCCTGTATATTCTCAGCCTCGCACACTGTCCGGCAAGTCCAGTTAACTCTACTGCCAAGATCTGTCCAGAACCTGTCCACTCCTCCATTTTCACACCCTGCCCTTATCCAGGTCACCTGCATCTCCTGCCTGGATATCGCAACCATCCCCTAACTGGTCCCCCCCCACTTCTACTCTGCAGGTTCATTCTCCCCAAAGCAGCAAGAGGAATCTTAAAACATAATTCAGATCATGTCACAATGTTACATGACAGGGCTCATGTCTTGTTCATCTCTGTATTCCACAGCCGGAAGCCAATGTTTGTGGGATTGGACGCGAGGTTTCCTCTTTATCAAAATACCAAACATGGAACTGACTCCCGGGTCAGGCCAACACGTGTAGTTTCTTTACTCCCAGTGTGTCTGAGGTGGGAAAGGAGATCAAACCCCTCCAGGCCCTCCCCCTTCTCCTCCCACATGTCAGGGGCCAGTGGCCCATCCCTGCCACGAGCCCTGGGCTGCTGGCTACTCACATTTGGTGTGCCTGTCACACAGGGCCGACGCCCGCATGTCACACAGCCGGATTGTCCCTTTGCTGCTGCTGTACACGAAGGTGTTGCAGTGATGGGGGTGGAACTCGGCCGCTGTGATCACCTCTGTGAGCTCCTCCATGTTGGCTGGCTTGATGTCGACGATATCTGGCACAGACGAGTCAAGGAGGGGACCAGGAGAACGGGGAGCCTTGGGGGTAACTGTAGCATCACCGCCTTATTTTACCGTACCATGTTAGCAGTGAGCACACACGGGGGATCCTCATCATAACTCTGTGAGCAAATAGGCAGGTATTAGTGGTCCCGGGCAGATGAGGCCCAGGGTTACCCAGTGGCCATAGGTAGCACTAGAACTCAGGTCTCCCTGGCTCCTTATCAGGATTTCATCCCTCATAACATGTAGATGCCCCATCACATCAAAGTTACCTGCCCATGCAATCATGCTAAAATGTATCAAGCTGCAAAGGCTTTCATTTCTCATTTTACAACAGTGGTTAAGAAACCAGCCCCATGCCAACTAAATAATCCAATATATTCCAACTAAATAATCCAATATATTTGAATCTTTATCTGAACTCCTGGGCTGATACATGATATCTAGGACAGACTGCAAATCCTCTTCCATGAAATCCCTTCGATGTTTTAAAATAATATGTCGATAATAATAATAATAGCAGCTACCATTTATTGAGCACTGACTATAGGTCAGTCACTGTGCAAAAGCATATCATGTACTTTATTTCATTTAATCCTTATAACAGCTCTATAATCAGCACTTTCTTACCCCCATTATTTCAAGGGGGGAAACGGAGGCTCAGCGTGTGTAAGTAACTTGCCCCAAGTCACATGGCTAAAGAGTGGCAGTACTAGGATTTTATCCCAGGTGCAAGATTTGTACTCTTTAGTAATTACGCAAAATTTCTCTTATTGAAGATATACAGGACCTCAAGTCTCTGTAAGCTGTGATTCGCTTTAGAGCTTATGTGGGAGTTTAAGCATTCAAACGAAGCCATCCAATTGTACAGCATGACAGTCTGAGTCTCCAATGGAATATACCGTTAGTTTTATCATCGGGTTTTTTCCCCCTCAGTATTTTCCTTTCTGATCAAGAATTACTATACCTCTATTTTTAAAGACCACATCCTTGTGTACTGAAATGAAACATTTGGCCTTTCATCTATGACGGTGACCCAGTGGAAACAAACGTCTTCAGTGGGAGTGAGTTTGGGCTGATCCCTTCCCACCTCTACTGAGAGCACGGGAGACATGGGTCCAGGTACGGTGGTACCTGGCTGGGGCTGAGGTGCTGTCCAAGGACCCAGCAACTTCCTGCAAAGGAACAGGCCTTGTGATGTGGATGTTGTGAACCAAAATGATTCTCACTTTTGAGTCACATTTGTGATTTCGCCCCACCTGTATATCACTAGGTAGCATTTTTTAACTTAACATTTTTTCTCCACATCAACTTAAATCGACTCACTTTTTTCTTTACTTAGCCTTGTCTAAGCAGTAATCCAATATTCATAAAATCATGGGTTTAATGAGCTAGTTACATTTTAAATAATATTCCGTACCTAAGATATATGCTTTTAACCATTAAACTGAACATATTTATGTCTGTGCCAGGAGCTTATATATCACATTTTGGAAAACACTGCATTGAATCAACAAGCAGTAACTTGATACAGATAATGCTATTAGACTGGGTTGGATAAAAGTCTCCTATGCTTTTCATGAAGTTGGGAACATAATCTCCTCCTTAGAATTTAGATGAGGTACGAGTAATTCTACTGATATTTTTAGTCACGTTAGCACTAACAAAGTAGTCCTCTATTATCAAACATCACCCATGCTCCGGCATGTCATCTGGTGCAATAATGGCTTTATATTTGGTTGTGCCTCTTTCCCTTTCAATTACCTCTTATAAATCCTGTTGGGTTTTTTCCCTAAAATTAGCTTGAGACAACTAACATTTCATTTTACTACAATTTCCCTCACAAATCCAGATGCAACTATTTCTTGGGTCTCCAGAGCATGTGGGTTCCTTTGATTCACAAAATACTACCTTTCAACTCAACTGCTACCAGAGTTATAAATATTATTGCAGTTAGCATCACTTGCTGGGGAGCAGGGGCCAGTGCCCCCCAGAAGGAGGCCCCAAGCTGCAGCTCTGATGTTCTCCCCAGTCCCCTGACCCATGCCCTGGGCTTTGTGGCCACGATACAGGGTGGGGTTAAGCAGAGGTTAGTGTTCAGCTGTTGTCAGATTTTATCACCCTCCAGAAAGAGCCTCCATACCCCTACTGTGCCAGTGAGCATGTTTCTCTTTTCTCAAAATAGGGCAAGAAAATCCGGTGTCAGCTTTCTCAACCTCTACCAGTATAGTTCTAAAAACAAGCTTAACTGGAAGGGATCTTGGCTGTGTGGTAGCGGGAGGTGCCACATCTACGGTTATTTTTTTCTCACCTAAAAATAAAGCCCAAAAGTTAGAATGTGTGAAAATGAAGGGCTTAAACATACATATGAAACCAGGCACATCCTCCACCATCAAGAACTGCATCAGAACTGAGTCTGCTTAGGGCTGCTGCCTCTGGACCCTTCCTCCTTCCTTCCCTCCCATCCATCCTGGACCTCTAAGCCTGCCCACCATCCCTCATCCCCAAGCATCTTCCTTTTGACTAGAGGGCTTCTCTGGGTCTGACTCTATGGGGTTCAGGGGAGAAACCATGACTCCAATCCTCTTTTTAGTAACTGTAATGATAAGGACAACAAGGAAGGTAATAATAAGCAGTAGTTAATGTTTATCACGTGCCATGCATTGTCTCATTTGACCTTCATCTCACCCTTATGATGTTAATATTATTAATAGGCCTATGTTCTGGCAGAGGAAATAGTGACTGATGTTAAGTTACTCAAGGTCATATGACCATAGAGGGTGGAGCTGGGATTTGAACCCAAGTTTGTCCAACTCTAGAGCCTGGGTTCTTGACCACACTCCACTCTCCTCCCCTGATGAATGGCCCTCACAGAGCCAGCCTTTCCGAGTGATGTAATTCTGGCTCTCTGGAAACTCCCCTGGCTAATCCAACAGGGATTCTGCTTTGAACCTGTGCTCTCTCAATTCACCGACCACTCTGGGGGCTACATTTTTCAGAACCAGAATTTGGACACAGCATCGGACCTAGGATTTTTGTGTTCCCTGATGTGATGAATGTTTTTTTTTTTTTGGAACCGTAAGTTGAGACAGAAACGTGAGAAGGGATTTCTTGAATTGTTAACTGCGGAGGATTTTCTGAGTTCTAAAAACATTTGGGAGAAGGAGTCTAGTTTCCAAAAATTCAATGGCTTATGGGGATGACAAGAGAGCATATTTCACATCTGCATCACCTAGAAACCCAGCCTTTTCCCTTACACTGTTCTAAAGGGAGACACACGCCTCCAGCATACGTGGTTGTGCCCTTCATGTTGGGAGCGAAGGGGAAAGGAGGGGAGCAGTGTGGGGCTCCCTGTATTATCTTGGAAATGGAATGATGCATGTTGACAGTCAATTTTCTCTCTCCTATCTTTTAGAGCTCTCTATCCAAATTATTTCCCTGTTGTCCCAAAGAACTAAACGGCAAAAGCAAAACAGAGCACTGGATTCACAGCTAATATACAAGGCAGAAAGCCAACAGATTGCTATTAAATTAACCCTGGGGCTTGACAGATCTGTTCATCCTGACCCCAACCGCTTACGGCATTCCTTATTAATGCGGAGCCCAGGCAAATTACCTCTGCTAACAAAAGGGGTTAATCTGCCTCTCTGCTGGGACTCTGGAAGCAGTGCTGAAGACGGGAGGGGGGCACAGCCAGTTTGGCAGCTGAGCTCCATGCTTGGAAGGCCGGAGGCGGGAAGGTGAGGGCACTGCTGTGCCAGGCAATGGCCTAAGGCATCATTTAAAATAATAATTGAAGACACTGGGAGGTCACCCCTTAAGGGATGAGCTTCAAACAAATAAGAAGCCAGAGACATAAATTACATCAGCAGTGGGGTGAGGGAAAGAAGGGGATTATGGCAGGATGCTAAAGGGTAGCATAGGGACCATTCAAAAGTCATTTCCTTAAACCCAAATTTGGAAAAGCTTTTTATAAAAAAATGTCTGTTGCGATATTATAAAAGAAAAAAATTGACAACAGCCTAAATATACAGAAATAGGGAAACGATTAAGTAAATTCTGATCCATCTCATTTAACTGTTTATGCAATGAAATGCCAAGTCTGTTAAAAAACCTGTATGAAAAATTCCATCTTTGGTGTGATCATAATGTCATTTAAAACTTACACTCTGAAACTGATGACCTAAAAGGCAAAAGTACCAAATGTTAGTGATAATTCCAATGGGCTGGGTCTATGAATATTTTTCTTTTCAATTATGAGTTTTCGTTTCCACATTTTCTTTTGATGAAGTTGTAGTATTTTAAGATGGAAAAAGACAAGATATTTTCTACGCTTATTATATACATGTATAATTTTAGGTGAGGTAAGTTAGATACAAAATATATACAGTCTGATCATAGCCATGTGAAAAAAATGAGAGAGAGAACAGAATGGAAGGAAACATAGTTATATCTTACAGGGGAATTAGATTCTAAGGCTGGCATTAAGTTATCCTTCAGTAACCCTAGCTTGGGTCCATTCATTCATTTGTTCCTTCATGGATTTCATAAACATTCACAAAGAATCTGCCAGGGTTTTTCTAGGTACAGGGGATACAGCAGTGGCCAGAGCAGACCAAAAATCCCCCTGATCTGTGGAGCCTATATTCTAGTAGGGGACATGGTCACTAAACAAGATAAATAAATAGAATATACAGTATATTAGGTTGTAATAACTGCTAAACAGACAAATAAAGCAGGGAAGTGAGAAAGAAAGTGTATATGTGTGAGTGGGTGGGATGCGTATGTGCACACGTGTGTGTGTGTGTGTGTGTGTGTGTGTGTGTGTGGCCCTAGACTGAACAGGAGAAAGCTTCCTGGATAAATCAAGAATTAAAAAAATTTTCCCTTTTCTTTTATTTCCTTATTAACTTATTTTTCTGAGCCCTTATTGTTGTGTTAGCTAGCATTAAGTTAAAATTGCGATGTAAATTCGTTGTATATACACAAAATT